TTTTTTATGGTCCAATACGCTTTAATTAACAATAATTTTTTTGTTTTATGTTAAATAACTCATTTCGTAAACAAGATGGAATGAGGTCGAGGTTTTTGACCGACCTCCTATGAGTTTACTTAATCAGCTGGAGCTGGACTCTACAACGGCTTCTTATAATTAATAAAGCCTATTGCAGTTTTTTTGTCAAAAATAATATTTATCACTCATATCTTTGTTCATGTCAAGTATAATTAGGGTTGCCAATTTGGTTAGGAAAACCAAATTATTAGTATGAAAATAAAAATCAAATCAGTTAAATTCTTGAAAACCCAAAATCAAAATCTTTAAGGGTGTTATAGGCTATTGGTTAACTGAAATCCAGTAAGTAATTAGTAATTTTGGCTGGATTTGGTTTGGGTTGGATAAATCAAATCCAAAAATCAAATTCATAGTATGAGTAGTCCAAAAATGGAGTCAGAAAAGATCACAAGAAATAAGCATGAAGTCAGAAAAGAAATCTATTCCACATAAGTTGTTGACATGCATGTGTGTATGTATTGTTGAACGATGTCGACTTAGTTGGACATGTTATCAGTTTCATATTAATTTTCAATTTTAATGCAAATAAAAACTTTAATACATAAAACTATCAAATAATCGAAAACCAAACCCATTAAACTTCTTATTAATTTTGTTTTGATTCCGAAAAATAAAAACCAAACCGATAGCCCTATGTACAATTAGGGCTGTCTATCTGGTTTTGGTTTTTTGGTTTTAACCGAAACCAAACCAATTGGAAAGCTAATGGTTTCAGTTTTTTGGTTTTAAACCAATAAGCAACTTAATGGTTTTGGTTTGGTTAAAACCAAAAAATCAATATAAACCATTAAGAAACCAATTAGAACAAAATTATTTATCAACACATAATTTGTTTTTTGTTCTTTTTTACACGCATGCCAACCAATAATTTGTAATGGCCATTTATCATTATTTTGACGTTTATTCAATAAAAAGGAGGGAAATGAGAATAAATATGAGTGTATGAGTACATGTTGGTTTTTTGGTTATCCAAACCAAAACCAAAACCATTAAAGCCCTTATTAGTTTTCGGCATGATTTTGGTTTTTGGGATTTGGTTTTTGATTTTTGATTTTTCATACTTAATGGATTGGTTAACCAAACCAAACCAAATTGACAGCCCTATGTACAATATTGGTAAAATTCTTTTGACTTAAATTAATAGTGTTAGTAAATTAAAGCATTTCCCGCCATCTACTTGCGCGTAGTTTATATATGTGCATATGTATCCAAAAGAAGGAGAAGGCAACGCACAATTTTGGAATAAGGTGCCGTTTCTCTTCTCAAAGCTGAGCCAGGGAATAAAACAAACCCTATACATAGAATAGATAGAGCAGTAGTTTATAATTATGAACGTAGAGAGGGTTCGGTCACATGCAGGAAAATGCCAATAATAAGTTCACGAGAAGCCATACAAAGGAATTGAAAACGAATAATAGATCAGAGGAAGAGACGCCCGTGAACGAGAAGAAGTGCACTTCACTTGGTAGCTGTATGAATATACAAGAGCAAACAAACAGGAAGCAGCCAGCATCCCCAGCAGCGGCCTAGCTATAGCTGCCCCACCAAGAAGAACCTTTTAGCCAAACAAATATATACACGATAGTATACACAATTTTATTCGAATTAATACGATTTTGTTTTCGGCCCATTCACTTTTTTTTCCATACATAATCATTATTTTAGACGGGTGATTTAGGGTAAAACGGTCCGAACTATTTATAATGAAACAATAAACAAGAAATTGAGTTGATCAAATTCACCCAATTCTCTAATTTTGAGAAAATTGGACCAAATTGACCCGTTTGTCAGAAAAAATTGGATGGATCAATTTAGCTTGAAAATTTTTGAATTGATATATTTAGAGTCGATTACAATTGTCTGAGCAACGACAGACAATTCGAATTGACTCGTTTTATAAAATGTGATAATTTGACAAAATTTTCTCGCTTCTGAAATGTTCCATCCAAAATATCCTCTAGATTTGATGACCAGAGGACAAGTTCGTAATGTAAAAATGATATGGAATTATGTCACTCATATCTTATCATGAATCTGGAATCTTGGTCTGAAATCATACCTCAGTAGCAAAGATTTATAAATCTGGGTGACCGACAGATTTGGTACCTCCGATTTCCCCCTACAAATATTGATTTTTTACATGATCGATTCATGACTTGAAGTTCTTCTCATCGTAAAAAAAAGGTTAAAGACACATTTGGTCACTGAGATTATAAAATCGGGACATGTTTAGTCACTAGAAAAAGTTAATATCAAATTTGGTCACTACAATTACTAAAACTGGACACATTTAGTTACTCGCCGTTAGTCTCCGTCCAACTCCGTTAATGAAGTCCGTTGAGTGCTGATGTGGCAAACAGAATTGCCTAATCAGCCGGATATAACCCAACAAAAAACCCGACCCGCCACGTCATTAAAACCAACCCAACCCATGACCCAACCCCACCCAACCCTTCTTCCTCCTTCCTCCCACCTCGGCACCTCCCACCTCCTTCTTTCCCCAAAACCGCCGCCGCTCTCCTCCTTCCTCCCACCTCCTCCCGCAAACCTGTTCGACCTAACCCAGCAGACCAATCCTTCACCATCCCTCACCAAATCTGTTCGTCTGCTATGATTTAGGACGAGTGCAGTACTATTTTCTTTTATTCTTAATTCGTGGAATCAAGTTTGACAAGGGTTTCCTATGTGATGATTCCGTTTTCTGATTCTCTCAATGTTTGCTGCAGTTAATTGACATCGTGTCTTGTGATTACTTCCAGAGTTAAGAGGCTGACAAAAAGTTCGGAAAAAGTGGCCGTTGGACTCCTACAAGGGAAGAAGTTTTTCAGTCTTTTGCCTGGAGAAATCGTCCTTGCTTCATTGGATGGATTCAGTAAATTCTCGATTCACCTTGGAATTATTATTTGGGACGGAGATGCTTATAAGCACTTTATTCGGCTGGATCAATATGAAATCTACAGCTGCTGACTGTTGACTTTGAAACTGTTATTCCTCTAACGCGAACAGATTTGGTGAGGGATGGTGAAGGATTGGTCTGCTGGGTTAGGTCGAACAGGTTTGCGGGAGGAGGTGGGAGGAAGGAGGAGAGCGGTGGCGGTTTTGGGGAAAGAAGGAGGTGGGAGGTGCCGAGGTGGGAGGAAGGAGGAAGAAGGGTTGGGTGGGGTTGGGTCATGGGTTGGGTTGGTTTTAATGACGTGGCGGGCCGGGTTTTATTTTTGTTGAGTTATATCCGGCTGATTAGGCAATTCTGTCTGCCACATCAGCACTTAACGGACTTCATTAACGGAGTTGGACGGAGACTAACGGCGAGTGAATAAATGTGTCCAGTTTTAGTAATTGTAGTGACCAAATTTGATATTAACTTTTTCTAGTGACTAAACATGTCCCGATTTTGTAATCTCAGTAACCAAATGTGTCTTTAACCAAAAAAAAGAGGGTTCTTTTCGGAACAAAAATGCAAACCAAACGGAATATTAGAAACACTCCTGGAATCAAACCACCGGGTTTATTTCTGTATCAAAAGCTAATTGACCTGTTTTTTCTTTTACACAGTTACGACTACATAATCAAGTACACCAAACACAAAATATGACACAACACGAAGAATTGAGGACATATAATATAAGCAAAAGAAGAAGAAGAAGAAAAAAAGACCCAATAAAGGAAGTTCAACAGTAATAATTTGTGAGTGGGGATTGGATATTATATATAATAATTATTACAATTAAGTACTAATAATTAGTTATTTCTTCGCCCTGGAAATCCTCCTGGCCAGCGCCATCCAGCAAAGCAACCGGTAGACGACAAAAAACCCCATCAGGGCGTACACATTCCGCCACCTCAGCCCCTCGTGGAGCCCACGCTGGCTCAACACGTCAGCACCGGTGACTACGCAAACACCGCCGCCGCCGTTTTGACCATCCTCTCCTCCGGCCCCGTACCAGTAAAAGCACTTGTCCACAAGGCAGGAGTACTCGTTGACCAGCAGCGCGTCGAGGGCATACTTGTACATGGACACGAAGTGCATGAACAGCCAGTACCTCGGCATGCTCGCCGACGACACGAAGTAGCCGGAGAACAAGAAGAAGCCGGCGAGTATGACGGTGACCAGGGTGGTCCCGGCGATGTAGTTGGGCGCCACGGAGGACAGGAACATGACGAAGGAGTTGGCCATGAGGAGGACCACCCAGACGACGAGGGCGAAGTAGCCGAACGCCCGCCACGTGGCGCAGAGGCCGACGAGGAAGTAGAGGGAGGCGGAGTAGAGGGCGGCGACGGCGAGGGTGTAGGGGAGGAAGACCAGGGTGTTGGCGAGGAGGTAGGAGGAGATCCTGTACGCGCCGCCGGAAGCTTCTCGAAGGATGATGGGCCGCTCGTTGATGAAGATCGGGAGCGTCTCGGTGGTGGCGGAGAGGAGGAACGTCAGGGTGAAGGCGAAGAGTCCGAAACGTTTCTCGATCCCCTGCTTGTTGACCCCGACGTCGACGTAGATCGTGCCGAGGACCAGGCCGACGACGACGGCCTGGATGGCGTTGGTGAGGAGGAGCTGCTTTGTCCGGAGGATGACCTTCCATAGGCGGGAGTGGAGGACGGCGATCTCGTGGGCCCGCGAGCATCGTCTGTGCCTTTCCGAAACCGTAAACAAAACAAAAAACGGCTGATGAAAGGAGTCGAAACGTTTCAAACCGGTAACTAGACATAAAAGACAACACTTTATAATTCAAGATATTACACTATATAGACGGTTTTTCGTTTTATGAATTCATAATAATATAGACGTCACTTGATAGTGGGAAACTATGTTGGTATTGGTATGAATTTGATATAACCATAAATAATCTTCATCGAATTTGTAATTTTCAAATAATTATGACAAGAAAAAGTATCTAATCAGCCGTTATTTGTCTACTGATATCTATTCCGATTTGTTGTTATAGAATTTCTTTATCGATGATCATTTTTTTCTATATCGAATCTATTTTTTTCCACAAGCTAAATATGTGGGGGAAAATGTTGAGAAAAATCATTCAAAATCGATAACATTGTTTGTGGACTTAACGTCTCAATTAAACTCACTTATGGTCATGTTGGCTCTTTACGGTTAATTCTTTACCGTGGTAAAATTTTATTTTAGAGGTTAATTTCTTGAAATAGAGTGAATTTCCTTATTCATGAAGATTGAACTTTTACCATTAGCTTTTGCAACTACAAATGTATCTCCCGCACGTTTTCACAAAAATAGAAAAAAGGGTTGCTCAATTGTTACCTTTTGACGACATTTTTGTGATCCGATGGTGGGGTATGATCCGGTGAGGGCAGGACCATTTCCGTCGCTGTCGTCGTCGTCGTCTTCGTCGGATCAGAAACGAGGTGATGAATGATCTCCATGGCATATTCAAGCGGGTTGAGCTGTTCGGGCACCGGAAACCCGCTGGACACCAAGTAACTCTCCAAAGAAGGAACGTTACCATAATGAACCACCCTTCCCTTGTTCAGCAGCACCACACGGTCGATCATGGAGAGAATCTTGAACCCGGGCTGGTGTATCGACAGCACCACGGTCCTGAGCCTCGAGCTCGCGATCCCCCTCAGCGTCTGCACGACGCTAAGGGCCGACCTCGAGTCGAGGCTCGAGGTGGGCTCGTCGAGGATCAGCACTCCTGGGTCGTTCAGGAGTGCCAGTCCGATGGAGACTCTCCGACGCTCCCCGCCGGAGAGTCCCCTCGCGGCGAGCCTGGTCCCCGCCACGTGGGTGAGGGAGAGTTCCTCGAGGAGGGAGGAGACGGTGGCGGCGATGGAGGAAGTGGAGGTGGTGGAGGAGAGGAGGCGGGCGGAGAAGGCGAAGGTTTCGGCGACGGTGAGGAGAGGGAGGAAGGCGTCATGTTGAGGGAGGTAAGCGGAGAGCTTGCGGAAGGAGGAGGATTTGGTGATCGGGGTGGAGTTGAGGAGGAGGGAGCCGGCGGTGGGGGATGTCCGGGCGGCGAGGATGTCGAGGAGGGTGGACTTTCCGGCGCCGGATGGGCCGACGACGGCGAGGATCTCGGCCGGGAAGGCGGTGAAGGTGACTTGGTTGAGTATGGTGGTGGTGGATGGTTGGGTGGTGGTGGTGGAAGAAGGTTTGAGGAAGGAGAGGAATGACGTGGCGGCGGAGGCGGCGGCGGAGGAGGTTTGTTTGGAGTAGGAGATTGAGGAGGCGGTGAGGGTGTAAGTGGGAGGTGGTGGTGGTGGTGGGATGGTTTCTTCTTCCATGGCGGTATGTGGAGAGGGAAGATAAAAAGGAAAGGGGGAGAGTGTGTGGGGGAAAGGAGTTAGGTTTTGGTGTAGTATTATGAGGGAGGAGATCATTGTTTTTTCCTAGTGTGTTTAAAGAAAAGGATAATGCAATATGAGTGAGAAAGGAAATGGGAAAGCAAATAAGGGCCAACTCATAATTGATATGAAACATATTGGGAATTACTTGTGGGGAAAAGGGAAATACATATGAATGGTAGATCACTTGGATCTAAATTTGGGGAAGTTGCATAATCTAAATGCAAATTGTTTACAATTCCAAAATGGTATAAGAGTACTTGTGCAAGTAGTATTGGTGCTTTGATATACAAAGTGCACTTTCATATTTTTTGTTAAACGAATTTGTACCTTTATATTACCATACTAGTTTGGTTTGCCTCATAACATAACAATACAAATTTATTTTGTACAACAAAGAAATTTTTATAAAAATGTAAAGGCACACAATAAAAACTTTTAACATTAAATGTACAAGCTCAATTTGTACCATAAAATTTTTAATATAAAATTTAAACTAAATCACAGATACTATATAAAATTCGTCAAATTTGTTGCCTAAGAAATTAAATGGATGATAAGAAAATAGATTCCATTCGTATTTTAAAATGATAGACAGAGTAGATAATATTTCTATCAAAGGGAACAAAAATGATATATTTAAATGCATGGTACAGGTACTTAGCAAAAAGGACAGAGTTGGACACGTAATTAGCCAGATGGATAGCTTAAAGCGACACGTTGGGCAGGGAAGAGGCCCACTCGATCTAAAAAGCCCACCGCAAGGCAACGAAGGAAAAGTCAAAAGACACCTCAACAGCCCCAAAACTCAAATCAAAACCCAAGTTCAAGAGTTGGGAATTGTACTACTGCTGAGCTAAGCTGGCACTCATGTGAACTAGGGCCGGGAAAATAGACCAGACCGTTAGAAAACCCGTGGTCCAAACCGTACCGCACTGTTTGGTCCGGACCGTAGACCGTGAAGTATGGTCTGGTCTGGTCCATGGTCTGTATTATTTTATAATTTGATCTCTTGGTCTGGTCTGGTCTAGACCGCGGTTTACCGGACCAAACCGTAGACCCAACTGACTTGTCAATACGTGTTAACAGCCCATTCGACCACTCTCCAAACTCCCACAACGACACCCAAGTCTCAAACTTAATTTTGTGAATCTCTTTTCTCCTTCATTCACAACCACATTTAACCACAGAGTAGAGATAATTGTATCTCCATATGACATTATGTTAATATTTATGACATTATGGTGCAAGATGGGATGCTTTTACTTTGTATCTTTGTTATGTACTAAGATTTAGAGTATCAAAATTATTCATGCATGTTAGGATTAATGTTTTAAGGAAAATAACAATTATTTTTCTTGGTTATTGGTTCAATTTTTTGTGTGGTTGACTAAACAAATTATTCATTTTTCGTTGAGTGTGGTCTATCTGGACCAGACCAGACCGAACCAGACCGCACAGGCGTGGTCTGGACCAGACCGTACAGTCTATGGTCTGGTCTGTGGTCTATACTTTAGCCTCTCAGTCTGGACCGTAGACCGTATATATGGTCTGGTCTGGACCAAACCGCACCGTTTTCCAGCCCTAATGTGAACCACACAAGCATCGGCATGGGGTGGCTAATAACGTAATATTTATAGCATTTTCCTACTAAATAGTTTTTAAATGTATTCGTTTTCGATTAGGTCAAAAATATGATAATTAGGAGCTTTATGTTCTCATCTTGGGTACTTAAAATAACATAAACCAGAAAATTAAGATTAAGTAGCAAGTGATGATCAGAAGTTCTATTATTGTTTTTTTGTACCTATATATATATATTGCATCCGATTCACTCACGAGAGTTCACTGCGTACGTACTGTGGGGGCTGGCCGGCAGCTGGCGGCTCTCATCGACCGATCGATCGATCATTTCCTGCTTTTGGTTCAGTCCTTGTTTGTTTGTAACTGCAGGGAACAACTATATATTTTATACCGTAGGGGAAAGTGAAGAATTCCACACACTGCATTATTTCCTCCCCACTGCACAAAAAATAAGGAGAGGGGGAAAAAGAAAACATCGCTAGCTTCACGACGAAACTGGAATTATTTTCCGATCGCCCCGTGACTCTCAAGCTTGTACGACCGGCTACTAGATGGAGATATTGATTTGGAGATAATACAAGGGACTTGTAATTTACCGTAAGTCTTTCACTTCTTGTCGCCAGTTTTACAATTATATTCCTAGATCAATTTTATTTGAAAATGGTTACGGTGAATAAGGGCTTGATATAGTAAATATTATCTTGAACCTAAAGTCCTAAATTTGAATACGTTAAATAGTACCTAATTATAAAAACAAACATAAATTGTATAAAGAAAAGCTCATGCCAAGGACGCGCGAGATGGTCGTGTTGGGGTTATCATCTCGGAAATTATGAGTCTGATAGATCTGATTAGTGAATAATATTTCGTATGTGGTGGTGGGTGTGTATATTAGTTGTAGTGCTGCGATTAGGGCAACACAATTGCATTATCTCCAGAATTTGTGCGAAGAGATCCAATTACCGTATGTGGTGATAGGGGATTTCAACTCCATTTTGTCAAGTAATGAGAAGTATGGTGGAAAGCCGTGGAACCCGGACAGCTCTATTGCGCTTAGAGACTTCATAAATGACCTGGGACTACATGATGTGGGTTTCCAGGGGGATCAGTTTACTTGGACCAATAAACGGATGAGACAGGCCTGTGTTCGGGAACGACTTGACCGAGCCATTTGTTCCCAGTCCTAGATGGAGCTTTTCCCTGAATCCTTGGTGAAGCATCATACGGATCAAGGTTCAGACCATAGAGCTCTTCTTTTATCGGATAAACCGTTCACGAAACAGAGCCGACCTCTTTTTCGGTTCGATGCACGTTGGGCGGATAATCCGAAAGTTAGAGCGATGGTCGTGTTCGTGTGGAGTGAGGAGGTCCATGGTTCTCCTATGTATAGATTATGGGCTCGTTTGAAGCGTCTCCGTCATCTGTTATATGATTGGAGCCGTGCCGGTACGACTAATTCTCTGCGAAACATCAAAACTCTTCAGACGGAGATTGAACAAACCAAACTCTCTACGCCCATTAATTGGGATAGAGTGCGGGTTCTCGAAATGGAGCTTAGTCGTCAGTGGGAGGCTGAAAAAATATACTGGCATAAAAAATCGCGAGTCCGATGGCTGAAAAAAGGTGATAGTAATACCTCGTATTTTCACACAGTCACCAGGACACGGAGAAAAAGAAAATTTGTGGAAGGGTTGCGGAATGAAGATGGGGAGTGGATCACTGATGAGAAGGGAAAGGCGAATATTTCGGTCGAGTTTTTCAAGCATCTTTTTACTTCTGAAAACCAGGTAGAGAATATGGTGGCCTGTGTGGCAGGTCTTCCTATTTCTCACTCGGTTACAGATGAAATGAATGAGGCCTTAACAGCGGAGGTGCGGGCAATGGAAATTCGACAAAGGGTCTTCTCAATCGGGTCCACCCAGGCCCCAGGATCGGACGGGTTTACTAGGAAGTTCTTCCGCGCTTTTTGGGATGTGGTTGGGGATTCTGTGATTGAAGCTGTATGTTCCTATTTTCAAACAGGACGGATGTTGCGAAGCTTTAATCATACTTGGCTCACACTCATCCCGAAAGTGGATAACGTGGAGAATATGCGGCTGTTGAGACCTATAAGTCTGTGTCAATTTTTGTACAAGATCATTGCCAAAATCATGACTGAACGTTTGGCTCGGTTCCTGTCGGCAATAATATCGCCAGCCCAGAATGCGTTTATTCGTGAATTGATGCATTACCTCAAAATTAAGACTAAGGGTAAGAAAGGTTATATGGCTCTGAAGGTTGACACTTGACATGGAAAAGGCCTATGATAGAGTCAAATGGCCATTCTTACTTGCGGTTTTAGCTAAGATGGGGTTTGATCCGACTTTATTGTAAGTTGGTGAAGTTTTAATAAAAATATTTCTTTATTGTAAGTTGATAAAAATTTATAATTTTTTCTCCCAAACAACTCGAGGGTGCAATTGAGCACTTATTTATATTCTAAATGGATTCTATTTTAAAGTATTATTTTCTTGTTGAAATGCCAAGGCAAGGGGATGACATGGAAACCCCCTTTTTCCATGCTAGCTCCGACTCGGTATACTAGTCTTACACCGGATGGAATGTTTATTTTGCTTGTTTCTTTTATTATTCATTTTCATTTTCTTAATTAATATTGAGTTGCTAATTATTTTTATATTTAATTTTTCTTATTATTTATTATTAGAGCCTTGTCTGATATGGGAAGGCAAGATTTAGTGTGAGTTTGGCCAGAGTTAGCAAAAATATCAAACAATAAGAGTTATGACTTCATCATTAGTTCGAATATCATAATTCCAACAATCCGATCTTAGATTGGCCAATAGTTTCAACTTTAGAATTTACGCATGGCGTTTCATTGATTTTTTGGCGTATCTAAATGTTATGGTCAAAATATTATGAGCAACTAACATTTTCTTAAACTCGATCACAACAATTTCACATAGAGAGAATTCAATTTATCATATTTAATGCTTGATTATGTTCGATTTTCAATTTGTTATACATTAAAAGCACGTATACTATGTGTGTAGCATTCAAGCTGTGATTGATAACACTCAACTTATAGTGTTTATAACTCCCATATTTGATAAAATTTCCCCATTATCAATGCATCTTTATGATTTTTACATTGTTTTCATATGAATATCATAAATATTTGATCAATGAGCTATTATTAAACATATGTTGTGTTTTTTTTTTATATTTTTATGCATTTTGTGTTTGTTTCTGTGTTTTTTAAGGTAACACTCAACCTAGCATTTTTTGGATCCAAACTTGAATAATTATGGAGGATCAATCAAGCATGTATTTAAGAAGATCAAAGAGAGAGAGGGAGGGGGTGGGGGGGGGGGGGTGTTCATCTATTAGACGAAGGCTAAAGGAGGGGAAGTCTTATCTAGAGCCCAACAGGAGGCCTTTGGTGGAAACTCGGCCCATACCAGAGAAGAAATCGACGCCGGCCTCAAGATGGCTCCACCCGCC